GACTAGAGGATGACCAACACAAACTGTGCAGCAGCAGATGAGCTATCGTCTCTGACTTTACATCTACAAGGTGGACTGACAAGGTAGGAGTGTCTAATAGAGTGGACAGTGAGTGGACACAGTGTTTAAAAACTCCAGCAGCACTGCTGTGTCTGATCTACTCAGACCAGCACAACACACACTAACACACCACCAACCCGTGCAGTGCTTAGAATGATCCACCACCCAAATAGTACCTGCTCTGTGAGGGTCCATGGGGGTCCTGACCATTGAAGAACAGGGTAAAAGGGGGCTAACAAAGTATCAGAGAAACAGATGGACTACAGTCTGTAACTGTAGAACTACAAAGTGCACCTATATAGTAAGTGAAGCTGATAAAATGGACAATGAGTGTAGAAACAAGGAGGTGGTCATAATGTTGTGCCTGATTGGTGTATTACTAAATAAGGTAAAACAAGTCAATATCAGCTTTCAATCATTTTCAACCAATTCTTTTCTGGCTAACAGTGTATAAATTGCAATGGCAGAATCCTGTAGCACATTTCGCTGCTGTCGGAAGAAAAACTCATATCTCCATTTTTGTTGTTTTTCAGTTTTTGATATAATTTGAAAATACCATTTGCTCTTTATACTGTATGTAAATTTCATAATGAATGAACCAAAAGAAACGGCCCAAAATGACTTGGAAAAAAGTCTGGCTCCATTGACTTACATTAAAAGTAAAGTAGGTTTTCCTTCTCCTGTAAAGTTACCATGTTGGAGATACGAGGTTTTCTTCCGACAACAGCGATCGGCTCTGTAATCTGCCCCTCTGGCGTATAGAAAAGTCTCTGATTCACAACATTTGCATTATTTCCCTTGAACTACAAGCTCAGTTAATTCTAAGACGAATTCAGCAACAGCAAATGAGCTATAAGAGTTAATGACTCAAAGACTCCTCGCAGCATGGGAGGAATGTAGAGATGAGAACATGGTCCATAGACACCTGATTAAAAAAATGAAAAATAATACTGTTCTCATAAAAACAAACAAACAAAAAACATGCATCCATTGTTTTCCACAAACTGTACTGTAACATAAGGCAAAACGCAAAGCCAGACAGAGCTCAGCTGAGCACTCGATCTGATTTGAGGAGTTTCTGAACACCAAAGTAAGAAGCATGGTTCAGTCACAAGTCTCGTTCTGCAGATGAAACAGAAACAGGGCATTTATCACTTCACTACTGCTCAAAACATGGAACAATCCAAACAGTTCAAACAAAGCCAGCTAATATCCAGACCGAGAGCGATTAGGTTACGGTTTTCTGACCACTGTGGATAAACAACACTTTTTTGAAGTCCACACAAGACAGTGAGTCCAGTATTACTGTAGCCCTTAATGTGGGGATTCTACTGTAAAGGAATACTTCAGCATTTTTCAGCCTAATCTCAGTTTTGCATCTTAATGATTTTCAAGGGTTCTTTAATGAAGGCAGCGGTTCTATGAAGAACTATGAACACCTAAGGAACCACTTTGAATGAACACACAGTTCTTTGCATTAAATACTTCTTCTATATGATGTAAAACCAGTTGGATATGGTTCTTTTTATAATGGTTCTCTATAGCACCAAAAAGCGTTCCACTATTGTTAGGTTAGGGGTCAAAGAACCCTTTTGTGTATAGTGTACGGTCAGTTACATGGACAATAATTTCCCAACTTAGAACATAATAGTAGCCAATGGGCAGTAGCTGAATTCCATTAATAAATGTTTATGCTAAAAGTTCTTGCTTTTGTTAGAACTTTATCATAAATTAAACAGTCAAACATAACTAAGTTTAAGCAGTGGTTTAGCTAAACATGCAATTATCAAAATGAGCACAACCTTGCCCAGATTTAGTCGATTAGGTAAGATGTTTAGTGTTCAAGTTTTGCTTTTTTTAGTTTAGCACTGGAGCTACGAGGCTAATGTAGCTAAGAAACACGAGAAATCAAAAGAAACGACCCAAAATGACTCGAAATTCTGGTTCCATTGACTTACATTAAAAGTAAAGTATGTTTTTTCCTTCTCCTGTCAAGTTACCATTTTGGAGATACAAGGTTTTGTTCCGACAACAGCGATATTCAGTTTTGCTTGGAAATGAAAAGTTTAAAATCCTGAAATGCCAGAAGGAAAACTTGTAAGAAAGTTCAAGAATGAACATTAAATTGGCCGACAAACACCTCAAAAGTTAAAGCAGCAAAATACTGTTAATTGTTTTGATAATTGGATTTCTATGGTAATTCCCAGTAGCTGCCAAAGTGTTGCTGTGGTATCCCAGGTGGTTGTTAAGCTTTTATTAGGCCATTGTTATGGTATCCCAAGTGGTTGCTAAGGTGTTGTTAGGCTGTTACTACGGTAGCAAAGGTGATTGCTAAGGTGCTGCTAGGCCGTTGCTATGGCTACACTCAATGTCAGATATATGATTCCGCAGGGGAGTCAGGTGTTAAGAGTCTGCCCACAGCATTGGGCTACACAGTGAAGCTTTGCTCATTTTTATAGTTAACAGTAAGTCATTCTGTGCTCTAAACCACATTGACAAGTCTGCAACCTTAATGAAGACCTGGATGTGGTCTGAGTGAGTGGAGAGACTTTTTAGGCGTTTCGGTGACTATTGGCTTCTAGTGTTGTTAGCCTCGTAGCTCCAGGGCTAAACTAAAGAAGCATAATTTGGGCACCAAACCTTGGCTGATCGACTATCTGGGGTAAATGGAAAATTTGTGTTTTTTTTTGTTTTTTTTTGCCAGAACATGAATTTAGATGGGATTTTCTGCTCTTTTCTAAGTACAGATGGTGGTTCATATAGTGTAAGACCATCTGCCAGATGCTGAAAACGTACTGTAAATGTACAGAGTAACATGCTGAAATTACTGTCTGTGATGATACAGATGTTGCAGATAGAGATTAAACTGAAAAACCTTAAAATATTCATTTCAGCTGATCACACACTAAGCCACCATTCTCCAAAGAACAGCGCTGGGGTGATGTGTCATAGCTGTGAGTGACTGTTTGTTGGTAAATCTCTCTAGAACGTGTCTAGTCCACACTAGATTTAGTAACACAGAACACTAGTTCATTTGGTTTATTAGTTCTTTTATGAAGCATTTTGAAGCCAGCAGCTGGTTTGAAACATTATCTGTTGGAGGGTGTTTTGGGCTTCGGAGATGACGTCCTAAGAGACTGACACAGGAAAAATGCGTACGTAAGACACTGAAATGATTAGTGATGAAACCAATAGGAGGTAATAACAGAAGCATTAGAATGATATTGCTTTTGAAACCACAGTTAGTTTGCGGCCTAGTTTTGTACTTCAGGAGAAAAGTGTGGCACTGCTTGACAAATTGGCCACTTCAGTGAGCCACAGATGGTGCTGTTACATGATAAATGTTGTAAGGTCACTGATTCTGCCATCTGTGTCATACAGCTGTGATTGGCTGGCTGAAGAGACATCTTACGAATACAGACTACTACTGTCTACATCTGTTTACTGAAAATATAGCCTGGTCTTTCTCTCATTCACTGTCTCACAGTTTATTACCCCAAAACATAGCTGGGCACTGAAAATATACACATCTACGGAGCCCTGCTGGGGACATCCTGTATAAACAAAAATAAAATGTGGCCACGCCATATTAACACGTGGGAATGAGATCCTAATGCATGGTCATGACTTTGTGAGGAGTGGGAACGCGATAATTAAGTCGTGGCCATAACTAATAAGGCATGGGAACAACATCATGCCTGTGGCCAAGGCTTAATTATCTTAAGTAGCCTTACTAAGTCGTGGCCACGCTTTAGAATCTCGTTCCCACGACTTAATTTTCTTGTCCCCATGCTTTACTAAGTCGTGGCCATGCATTATTATTATTATACGGTATGTCACCAGCAGGGTTCGGATGTATCTGTTATGTTTCGTTCCTTTATATTTCATAGAATCATGCTTGCTGTGTTTAAACTGTAAGTATGGCAATAATACTCCCATAATTCTGTTTGGCTCAAAACAAAAAGTTTAAAATTATAAAATGCCAGAAGGAAAACTTATAAGAGAACGTTTGAGAATAAATATTAAATTGGCTGAACAAAAATAATTAATAACACCTCAAAAGTTAAAGCAGTTGCAGAGCACTGTATTATTATATTCCTATTATAATTCCTAGTAGTTGCGAAAATGTTGCTAAGGTATCCCAGGTGGTTGTTAAGGATTTGTTAGCCCATTGCTATGGTATCCCAGGTGGTTGCTAAGGTACTGCTAAGCTGTCGATACAGTAGCCAAGGAGGTTGCTAAGTTGTTGCTAGGACACTGCTATGATAATGAAGGTGGTTGCTATGGTGCTGCTAGGTTGTTGTTATGGCAACATACAATGTCAAATATGTTAACATCTTTTCTGCACTTCCAATAAAACATGGAATGTCAAGTTTTACATGTCTGGGTTTAATTTAGAATCTGGAATGGCCAAAAAATGTTAATGTGCACCATAATATTAGAAATCCCACAGAGATGCTAGCAGAAATTAGCATTATCATCAAGGTGTTTTTTTTATTTTCTTTTTGACCAAGTTTGGACATTTATGGCCAAGGGTTTGCCACTGAGTATGTATGTCAGACACCACATAAGAAAGTTTATTTGAAATCAATTTTGATTCCAGACGTTTAAGGCTATCAAACTATTAGCTTAGCTACATTAGCATCATAGCTCCGGTGCTACACTTAAAGAAAAGCAAACCTCAGACACCAAACAGGTCTTTCCTGACTACATTTGGGGTAAAAATAACACTTTGAGACGGCGCAACCCGAATGATGCTTTTCTTTCGAAGTACAAATCACGGCTTCAACACAACGCGTGGCACAAAGGTTCCACATCATTTCTCCAAACAATATTTGGCAAAGAGGAGTTTCTGTATTTCTTTTTTCAATTTCAAAACACACAGGGGTCGACCACACAGTAGCTCAATGGACTTACAAAAAAATTATTTAAAATCTTCTTTTTTTTAATTGTTATGGTATAAAAGCTAGTGAAGTTTTGCCGTCAAGTCTCTTTTGGCGGAAACCATGCAGATGGTCCTTGTAAGAAACACAGTTTCAAAAAGCTCAGCGTGACCGCAGGAACCACAGTATCAGTCGTTTAGAGAAAGGAAAAAGAAAGCAACTCAAACGTTTTGAACCAAAGTCAGTATCCACTGTCCAGTGAAGCTTGGTCAACCAAGTCTGCTTGACGATGAGGACGATTACTGATACGGAACAGTAGGAAATGTCCAAGGTTGAGGGCCATTTTGACCTGTAGCGCACTGCGCAGGGTGCTCAAGCCAAGTGCACTATGTAGGGAGCAGGGAGCCAAAGTCCAGTCCAGGTTCTGATATGACCAAATCATATATTTGTAATATTAGCATTACGAGCACCTCGTTATCAATGAAAAATAAATATTTTTGTTCAAAATACTTTGAAATTTTAGACGGTGGACAAGTCCTCCACCTTATCCACTCGGGACAAACCTTAAAGTTTATCTTCTCTTCGTTCTCTTCGCATCACGTCTGGCATGTTAGATGGTGAATTCGGTTACAGTGTTAGTCTCCTGCTCACTATTTTGGTAAGTATTCCACAGAGTCAGTCAGTCAGCTCGCTCCATTTTCAGCTTTTTGGGATCCTGTATTCTTTTCCGGCGCTTCTCCACGCAGAGTGGGCAGGCATTTCCTATGGATGAGATTAAAAAGACAGCATTAGAGCCCAAAAATAACACAGGAAAAAAAAGGAGACACACACTCACACGCAGGCCTGGGCTTAGTCACATACACATTCTTCACGCTCCACAGATGAAACTAATCATGTTCCGTGTCGCTAAGCTGCTCTGCTCTTCTCTCGAGGACAGCTGCAGCGCAGCACGCGGCCAGCAGGTGGCAGCAGTCTGCTCTGTGTTCTTACAGCATCGTGGGAGCGCACTGCGCACAGATAAAGCCTGACACAGTGCTGATCCACGCTCAGCACTGCGGCCTGCCTGATGTTAGACAGATGTTGAGATAAGCAAGCATAACCTGATCCTGCGTCAGCTGACGGAGACAAAAGGTAACTAGAGTGCAGCGCTGAAACTACAGCCTGTAATTTCCGAAAGTAGAGCATCTCTCTGTCGGGAGGAGAGAGGAGCACACAGAGCGGCTCAAGGCATAAACGTTTATCTGCTCTGCCTCCACAGCATGGAATATCATGGAAAACCCAGTTTTTCCTTCCTCGTTTGAAACAAAGGAGTTTAATGTAGTATGTAAACACTTAAATATTCAAAAAGCACCATCCAATTTGCATTCAAAACAGTCCATATATGGAAAATAACTGTTTTTCATCCCTGGGGAGGTTAAAATTATTTACTTATTCTTATTTTACTATTTTTTCTATTTGCATTCGTTTTAGATGACTGATTTTTTTTAAATAACCTTTTTGTTTTATTTAGCTTTAAGATTTTATTATTTTATTTATGTGGTTATTTTATTGTTTTTATTTTTACCATCATTATTTTTCATGTCAGTTTCATATCTTTTTTATGTTTGTTTTTGCTTCACTATACTGAAAAAAAAAAAAAATTAGTAAAAGCTAAACTGAATTGAAATGAATTGAATTCAAGGTACCAGAACTGCTGATTGGTACCAGCAAGACTTAAAGGTACTTGAGGACGTTCTCCTCTGTCTTTGGTAACACCTGAAGCTAAAGCAGGTATACTGCTTCATATTAGCCAAGAAATTAGGAAGCAAGTCATCCAATTAGCCTAATTAGATGCTTTAGAGTGGGATAAAAATGACCATTAAATGATTAATCACAGTTTTGAATAAAACATTCATGTGACATCATAGGCTGTTCGGGATTCACAGTGACATCACAACCATAATCATATTTACAAATCAAATGCAAACGTCTGAACACCCCTGGTCAAATGACGTTTTATTTATTTTCTAGCTGAAAGTAACAATAACTTATTACTTATTAAAGAAACTTATTACATTACTTCATTTGTTGAGTTTAACATATAAAATATAAAATGTGCCATAGCTTTTGCACAGACCACATTTTGCCTTCTCTATGGAGGATGTGTTGACTTATTTTCACTCAAAACATACATTTAACCAGGAGTGCCCAAACTTTTGCATATGACTGTACATATGCCCACAGTTTAGCCCCGCCCATTCAGCCTACAGCAGTTTAGCTCCACCCATTCAACCTACAGCAGTTTAGCTCCACCCATTCAGCCTACAGCAGTTTAGCTCCACCCATTCAGTCTACAGCAGTTTAGCTCCACTCATTCAGCCTACAGAAGTTTAGCTCCACCCATTCAGCCTACAGCAGTTTAGCTCCACCCATTCAGTCTACAGCAGTTTAGCTCCACTCATTCAGCCTACAGCAGTTTAGCTCCACCCATTCAGCCTACAGCAGTTTAGCTCCACCCATTCAGTCTACAGCAGTTTAGCTCCACCATTCAGTCTACAGCAGTTTAGCTCTGCCCTTTCTAGTTGAAGTGAGACAGTCCGTAGCAGAGTTACTGAAGTGGACGAGGTGGGAAAATTATTAAATGTCGTGCTGTTCCTGGCTGTCAGGAGGCAAACAGATCATTGTAGGCTCCACACACTTGAAAGGAGTGGCTGAAGTTTTTCTTCTGACACTCAGGATATTAGTCTTAACAGCTTATTCCACATTTCAGCCTGAACTGCTTTAAAATGAAGCACCCTACATGATAGCCAATCAGAAACTAGGTCATTTACATATGTCGGTCTCAAAGGCACAATGATTAATACAGCCTATTTAATTCTAATGGAAAGAAGATTAAATAAATGATCATGTACTAATAAAGTATGATTGTTTTTGTACATAAAACTACACAAATGTCATAAGTGCAAAAAAAGACAAAATACAAGAAAAATGTAGAAGATTTCAGCAAGAGGCTTGAAAAGAAGAGGACAAAGATCCTCTGCAAAGATGGACAAGGGTCACTGCATGTAAGGACTCACCAAGAGAAAAGTCTTTTTAGCTGTGGGCAACTGAAACTCCACCACAACACAGGCTGTTTGAATGGTGTTATATTTTTACGCTGTAGTCAAATCTGAACCAATGTCACCACATCTGTCTCACCCCATTGAGCATCATGTCTGCTTTATGTGAAAGTCCTTAAAAAGGAGGCAGCTTTATTCAGACTCTGAGAACGGCAGAGAACTCACCGCAAAATATGACTTGGTCAATAAACAGTGCTTAAAACATAAAATCTAAGTCAAATGAAATCTTGAAGAACTGTGCAAAAACCCTGAAGTGAAGCAGCAGTGAAAACAGAAATGCCTTGCAGAATTTAAAAAGCTGGCAACAAACCGCATATTTATAAAGCAGTGCTTCAAAGCTGAGGGGGATAAAATGGCCTGTGCTGAAGTGAAGCTGTTTTGCCCTCACACAGCAAAATGAGGACTTGGGGAAAAGAACCCAGTGGGTTCAGAGAGCGGCGGGACGGTGGGGGGGGATCCACCCAGGGACATGCTGGGTTTAAAGTGATAGTTGGGTGAAAAAACAAGCAGACAAAAGAATGTCACACAATTAGAAACAATGGAAGCAGCCTGAATCGCGTCTGTATTTTTGTCCGTTTTTAGAGATAACTGCAGGGGCGGCTGGTATTGATGAGTTAGCGGGCTGAGCCCTCCCTCTCTTTCAAAGAAAAAAGCCTTCAAAATGAGGTTTCATTTTTGGAATCCATATTTAATTCGCTATTAATAAATGGTTAGAAGGTGAGTCCTTTAGACGTCTGTGGACTCAACAACAGTATCACCACCAAAAGTTTGTAAGAAATATAAGAATTTGCTAAGACTGGGCTGATTTAAATCTACCCTAAGTGACTGAGTCACTCAGCCAATCTGTGATTCCACATCAAATGCATTGAGATGTATAGAACACACTGTAGATCATTATCGGCTAAAGTTTTTAAGCCCACAATGTCCAGCTGCTGTCAGTACTTGCTGGGACGGGGAGGCCCAGCTCTGAAATATGATTGGCTGAGATGCTCAAAGCTGCTGTAAAATAACGTTGTTTACACTGGGAGTCAGATCCAGTCATTACATGGCAGTGTTTACTGTAGAATTTTTTGAATTTGCTTCATAAGAAGCCGTATTTATCTGATTTCCACCACTGTAAAAAGACCAAAATTTTGTCTGGGGAAAAAAAACAAATACAAAATGATCACAACGAAGTGTCAAAATCTAACAATCAATGCTAATGAAAATGAGAAACAGTGATTAAGGCCCAACCCATTTCACCCCTCACCCCTACCACTCAGCCCTACCCCTCTGTTTGGCGCGTTAACGACTAGGGGTAGGGTGTCCCGATTCTTGTTCAGGTACAGGGGTAGGGCGAAGTGTTAGGGCTACATGGCCCTCCAAACGGAGCTGTTTCAGAGGAAAACTGGCGAGATGGCTGCGCAAGCAACCAAAGAAATCCACAAATGTGAGAATTTTCTCTGTTAAAAAATACAGTAACCATCATATTATCTTAGGTTAATGTTGTTTCAGTGTATTATGGTCATTTTCTTCCTAACAAGCATAAACAAATCACTAATAGTATACTAATCTCGGTCTCGGTAGCTAGCTAGCTAACTTTTCCTTTTCACCTTAAATGGTGGTTAAGGTGGAACGGGAAAACTCGAACAAGAAGCTGGTGAATAGCTGACTTCAGCTTCATATCACTGAAGAATTAGGGGTGGGCAATAATAAATAATTGTCCCCCTCTTTAAGGGAAATGATGCCCTAAATGTGACTAAAGCCCAGCAGTGAGGAGCTGAACTTTACCCTCCTCTGCTGTCACTGCAGACTGGCAGGGTCAGCTACAGAGCAGCGCTGGTAGCTGTTAATGAAGTAATGATCTTTTTTATTTGAGGGTCTCATTTCATAGGGAAGGATTTCAACCACCACGCCTTGAACTCAGTTCCAAGGGGCAAGGTGACACTCGAAAACAAGGGGTGGGGGTAAAAATAAAAAATGGGATTGGGCCTAAAAATACCGTTTGTTTCTTTCATTCTCCTGCCAGTCAGTACAGACGCGTTCAAACAGTTTGAGCAGCAGCAGATCAACAGTGAAAATATCGTCCATGTGAAACATTTCTAATAGTTATGTTCAGCTGGATGTTCCGATAGTACGGTCTGAATACGGCAAGGCAGCTTTTAGGTACAGCGCTCCATCTGCATGGAATGATCTGCAAAAACATTTGAAATTGGAGCCGTTTATGTCCTTAATTGAATTAAAGATGATTGTAAAAGAACTAAATCATTCTGTTTGTTCTTGTTTTTAATTTGGTTTTAGCCTTGATTTGATTCTGTTTGTTGTGGTTGTGTTGTTTCTTTGTTGATTGTTTTGTGTGCTGCCTTCTTGGCCAGGGCTCAATTGTAAAAGAGACTTTGGTAACACTTTACTGTAGGGTGCTCTTCATAAGGCCACATGACACTTACATAAGCTTGTCATGACAACTGACATAACCCTACATAACTGTTTATAAATGCTTGTTCCAATAAGCGTCATTATTTATAAAGGTTACATTTGCCAATTTTGATCAAAGTCAGCTAAAGTAGCCTTTATGACAGATGACGCCTGTTGTAATAAGCATTTACAAACAGTTATGTAGGGTTATGTCAGTTGTAATGACAAGCTTAGGTAGGTGTCATGTAGCCTTATGAACAGCACCCTACAGTAAAGTGTTACCGAGATTTTTAATCTCAATGTGACTACCCAGGTTAAATGAAGGTAAAATAAAAATATAAAAAAGTAGGTTTAGAACATTTATTCAAAGGCATATATAAAACCAGTAATAATCATTTTTGGCCAGTATTTTTTTTTTCTTCAGAGCATCACACAATGGTCAACACTGGCATTTAAACATTTGAGTTCAACTAGTCACAGACAGCTCTGTTCAATTGCTGTAGCTGGAAGGGTCCCTCAAATGTGACAATACAATGCGTGAGCTACTATGAGGTGTTACTATGAGTAGCCGTCACTGCGTAACAGTATGTCACACAGCGTTAGAAACCACATAAGCAAGTCTATTTGAGCTTACTTAACAAGGTCTAAGGCAAATGTATTATCATTTATACTTGCTGTTTGCACAATGCAAACTGATAACTGGCTTATAAGCTCCCATTACCTGTTACTTTAGCCTCTTAGCTCCAGCGCAAAACTAAAGACGCAAATTTCACCAAACATGTCTTAGCTGATCAACAATATGTAGTGTAAGAACAGAAATCTCATTTTTTCATCAAACTATTGCTTTAACATGAACAAACCCACTCATAGCAGCTCAGCCTAACACAACCTGACTGGAGAGAATATGTTGCCAGGTTACACATCTCATCCAGCTCAGAGATACTTCTATTGTTCCAGCGTTTTTATTCAGCTCTCATGATCTGCGTCTCTGAGCCGTGTTTACAGCAGGAGAGCTCAGCTGTACAGGGTGGAGAGAAGCGCCCATGCAGTGCATCGAATTCACAGAGTACAAACCACTTTATACAGCAGGGCATCAGTCTGACGTTCCTACTGAAGGATTGTGGTGTTTTCCCAGTAGCCAGAATGGAGGATAACTCTGAACATTTTAGAGTGCTTTATATAGCACTGCTCTGCTATTCAGTGTTGATTAGCCCTTGTAGGTCCTCAATGACATGGTCACTGTAAACGCCTTGTGATTTTGTTGAATTACTTCTCACTTGTAGCTCTGGGGAACAAGCAGAGGAGTTTTGTGGACAGTCCAGATTTTCAACTTTCAATGTACACCACATTTCTTTTGTGAAGAGAAGTGAAGATATTTAATTATTATGTGAATTTGATGAAGTTATTGCTGTGTATGAAGCCTTATTTTGAAAACAAACGTCATTTTCTGACAACAAAACCAATAAAATAAGTGCAGATTCACAGTGAGTATGTTTACATGCACTCAATAATCTGATCATTATTGGATTTCTGTAGTTATCTGATCATTTGAAATGGCCACGTAAACAGTACACTCTGATTTCTTAGATCGGAGTAAGGTCTACAAATCCGATTAAGAAATCCGATAAAGAGAGCTGGATTTTAGCTCAGTAATCAGATTTCTCAGTACATGTAAACTCTTACTCTGATTTCTTTCGGATTTCTCTGTCTGAGCATGTCTGAAACAGACGCCAGTACCAGAAATAAGTAAGCAACGTTGCCGTGAGATGCAGCAAAACACTTTTGGAGCGATGCTGAAACCGACTACATGCTTGACGAAATGAAGGATATAAATATTCTTCATCTTCTAGATGATGTAAGTTCATATTTTCAGGTAAAGTGATGCGTTGTTTTTTTTTTTTTTTATGAAGTTTGAGTTTTATATTATGTTTACGTCACGTCTACTTCTGAGAGTTTATTGGCTGGTTGCAAAGCAGTAATCTGATTACTGTCTGACTCATGTAGAGCTGGAGTTTCCCCATTATCTAATTACTCAAGTGCATGTAAACGCATTGATTGGATTACTGACAAAATCTGATTTTCTGCAGTTATCGGATTATTAAGTGCATGTAAATGCACTCATTGATGGAGAACGTAAGTTGAATGTAAATTTAATTCATTATGTAACTAAGTATGTAATTAATTATGTAATTACATTTATTCTGTCATATTTATATACAAGTTTTGCTGATTTTCTAAGTGAAAATAAGCTAACATCCTCTACAGGGAACAAACCTAGATTCTTCTGTCAATATTTTCTATCTATTTGCTGAGTTTAACATGTTAAAAAAATTAATTGCATTACTTTCAAAAAGGCCACGTTTTATTTCAGCAAATAAACAGTACTTGTGCCTTAAAATAATCATAATAATAATAAATTCTATTTATAATTTGCTTTCCTTAAACTCAAAGTGCCACAAAACAATGGTTAAAACAATAAACGAACAAAATCTAAAACAAAATATCAAATGTTAATCAAAGTTTATCATGAGAGTCAAACTGAAAACCAAAAAAAGCACAGAACTGTGTTCTCTTTACCAGAGCTGCCCAAATATTTGCATACGACTGTACAGTCTAGTAAAGTTATGATAAGAACTCCGGATTTCTGAGCATGAATAATTAGAGCTTGTGCTCAAAGTGATGTCTGATCTTGTAAACTCTGCACCAGAATCACTGACTGTGTTATAGAAGCTCTTCCTGTGAGGCTGTGAGTTGAGTTTGGTTTTACCCTTCTATATCTTGTCAAGCTGATGCAGCTCTGCCTTTCAGAACCAGAAACCAGAAACAAAACCACACACATCACTAACAGTTAGCTAGAACAACACTGGAGCAGATGTGGTGTGAAGTGGAGAGACAGAGAGGAGACGTACCAGAGCTGGGGTTCTCTAATCGTCTGGCTGAGAGGGAGCCGGGGTGTGTGCTGATGTCTCACAGCTGCTGGGGGTTTGGGAGCTGGAGCCCTGCAAGCAGGAGAGGAAAGGAGAGCACTGATTAGAGCCAGCACTAAAACCAAAACATACAATTATCAATTCTTGACAAGTTTGCCAATAAAAAATATGCTGTAATTAATCCCTTAAACCCAGACTCACTAAATCAATGTTATCAGCCATAACAAGAAAAACAGCAGATGTTTAAAATATCACAAGTGTCCAGTGTAGGGTTCTCCTTTAGCAGCTGTAGCCAGTCAGCAGCCTGTCCATGTTGTCCACCCTCACACACACACAAACACACACACACACTAACAGCAGGCCATGTAGGAGGAGAACAGAGTGAAGGACACAGCACCTCCACACTGTTTACTCCTCGCGGGTTCACCCAACACCACATGTGTAATATAAATGTGTGGGGGGTGAACAGAGTGAAGACACTGAAAATGGGTCATTTTATATGTTCTTCACAGAAAATGAGCAAAGGACAAGAATCTGAGGTTGAAATAATAATAAATCACATTGTTTTTTATTTTGGTAAACATTGAAAATGGTCCCACAGACCTGAACACCACACAAGGGTTAAAATGCAACAAAAACTGTGAACTGTGTTGGGTTGAGGTAAATAAAGTAAATAAAAGAAAGCAGTAAATGCATTTACTGAGGCATCTTGAGGGACCATATGACCCTCTGACTTCTATCTTTTTGCTCTAACATGTTTTGAGGACAGCGCTGGGTAATGTTTGTTTATTTGATAGCTGTGTAGTTAATTCTAATGTTTTTAGCATGTATGCTGGCAGAAGAGTGTTTTTTGTGTAACTGCACACTATGACACAAATGATACTTACAGAATTCTTTAGTAAAGAAAAATGGTTCTACATAGAACCATGAACACTTTGCATGATTAAAGGGTTCTTTGAATCATGAAAGGTTCTTCAGATGATGGAGAATGTCATTTACATGGTTCTATATAGCTTTTTGAAAAGAATTCTGCTATTGTTACGATGTCAAGCTTGTACCAAAAGAAGAACCCTTTTCAAAAAGGTGCTATATAGAACCATCTACAGCACATTCTCCATGAATCTGAAGAGTCCTTTCATGATGCAAAGAAACCTTTAATCTTGCAAAGAGTTTTTTGAGTGTGCATGGTTTTATATAGAACCAATTTCTTTACTGAAGAACCCTTGAAGAACCATCATTTTGAAGTTTGTACAACCAGTGTTAGCTACTAAATAAACATGACTATCAAGTAAGGTGGCTATTCAGCCAATCAGTTAATCAAGCTAATACAGTGCATAATTTCCTATGTAAAGATTTCACCATTACTTCACATTACTGAGCTGCACCTCCGCTATCTTACCGTCATGTTCCACCCTAGAGAAACAACCATACATACAAACAGAAATCACAATGTCCATTACAACAAATAAAAAAGCACTTTTAATAACAGAAAGTTCCACTGACAAGAGGGTTTTCAGTTTAGGCATTCAGCCAGCCTTGTTTCCAAACTCCCAAAGAAGCTCAGCACTGACAAGCCCCCCTTTTTTCTACCATCAACAGAGAATTCAGACTGCAGCAAGTACAGTGCTGTTCACTGAATAAACCAAAAGCTTGGTCCAGCAGTGGCTCTTTGGAAAGGAGTTTTCTACATGCTGAGAGGCCAGAGATTAGTTTGTAATTTGAGCAAAATTGTGCTTCAAATCAGCACAATCACACAGGGTACAGAAAACAAAGCTGTAATCACCATCAAAAGACCACTTGAGTGACCACTTACTGAACAACAGAAAGAGTAGCCTCATGTTTAATTCTGGTTCTAAACTATGTACTGAGCACAGAGAATGAGAACTGATGATTCACCATGCAAACAGCAGAAATACAGCTAAGAAGTTAAAGAGGATGCACAACAAATTAAAATAAAAATGTGTAAAAAAAAAACGGCAATTACCGGTTCCTCTGTCAAATCATGGCTGCTGCTCTCTGCTGCTCCCAAGGGAGGTGCCTCTTCAAGATGGCCATCGCTGGCCTCTGCTTTCCACAGGAGAAGGCTCTTTTGGGGAGGTCAGAGGGCAGGGTCGGGATACCCTGCTGGGGAGCAGGTGTAGCAGCTGTAGGAGCAAATGATTTCCATCACTATAATTTATCGATGATGGCCGCAGCATCCAATTATAGTCCTTAATACAGGATTAATAGCTTTGACTTCTAATGAGTTAGAAAATTTAAGGTCCTGGGAAACTACGGAGCTACCGAGCTATCAGCTACAGAGCCATAATTCACTGAACTATTAAAAGAAACATAAATTATAGTCATGATCCTGACAGTAAAGCTGAGACAGTATTTCCTTTACATAACACAGTTAACACCAAAAACTACATATGCTTTTTGCAGATTTCGGCATGGTACCCTTCTTGGAACACTTGGCAGCTCTAGAAGCTACACTGATGGGTTGTGATGAAAGAGACAAAATGCAAACTCTAACAGTTTCTCTCCTCTTTTGAAATTAGAAAGACACAATTTCCACAACATGACAGGTTATTTTTTGTTTTTCATTTTTCTCCCAAATTTAGTCATATTCAATTCCACCCACCAGTTAGGACTCCCCCAATCACACAACACACCACCAGTGATAGGAGGGTGAAGGCTGGCACAGGCTTCCTCCGGGCCATGTGAAGCGCAACCACATCTTTTCAAACTGCCGTTAATGCTACGTCTTTGGACAGATGAATGCACTTGGAGGAGAACGCTAAGCGCCAGTTCTGTTATGTCAGCTAACAGACGCCTGCACTGCCTAGCATCGCGCAGCGTGATGGGGGAAAGGGAGGTTCATCCAACCCACCTAGAGAGAGCGAGGCCAAACATGCTTTCTTGGACTCCCGGCATCACCGGGGATAGGCCTCGCAATCTCCTAATGATAGGGTGAACGTTTAGGTGGTTGCACCACTTGGAAGCACTATAATCAGTTATTGACCAAGTGTGTCTAAGTTCAGTTCACTGAATCAGCCAATAAGAAGCAGTTTTGCCCGACCCTGGTTACGATCTTGTCTATTTTGTGTGTCTCACTCACGAGAGTCTGTCGTGGATGGTGACGTAGATGATCCCGGGAGTCAAGCTCAGCTGCGAGAGGTCAAGCTCGCCACAGCAGACCTCTACTTCCTGTGTCCCACAAGGTTGTGTGGCACCTTCTGACTGTGCTTGCGGACCGCTGGTGGCTGCAGGCTGTGCCTCTGAGTCCTGCACCTCCTCCTGGACATTCTCACTTAGTGTGTCCCTGGAGGCACCCCGCTGCAGTAGGGGGTCAGCTGTGTGCTGAGGGCTGGTGATGGCTGAAGACGGCGCAGACGGCTCACACGAGTGAGGCCGCATGGTTGCTATGGGAACCAGGCCCTGGAGCACAGCAGCAGCAGGCAGGGGGTGCCCCCCCATGCCAACCGTCTGAGCTGGAACGAAAGCCCATTGCTGCTGGCCTGTGGCTGGGGAGTGGAAAAGGTTGGCCTGGCCCCATATCACCGGCTGGCCACCGGGAAGTACCTGGGCCACCTGTAGTGGAGCCTGGACCCCAAACGCCAGTGGAGTGCCTGGAGCCGCAAATGATTGCTGAGCCCACTGAGCCGCCTGCACAGCACCCATCGTCATGTAGCCTGTGAGAGGGAGAGAACAGACAGCATAGAGACAAGCGAGACAGAGACAAGACAGGCAGGACAGACAGGGAAACAGACAGGGATAGAGAGGTGGCACATGGGACAATGAAGGGAAGACAGGACAGAGAGGGGACAGATGATACAGGAAAAAGACAAATGGGACAAAACAGGGATAGATAGGACAGATATGATAGGTGGGACAGAGAGTAGACAGGCAGGACGAAAGTCAAAACAGACAAGACACATAAGGAACAAAGATAAGACAGACGGACAGGCAGGACAAACAGGGGACAGATGGGACAGAGATAAAACAGATGGAAAAGAGAGGGACAGAGTGGAAAAACAAGACAGTGCAAAGATTGATGAGACAGAGACAAGACAGACAGGACAGAGGGGGAAGAAACAGGACAGAGGGGGACAAATAGGACAGAAAGGAGACAGGAAAGAGGAAAGATGAGAAAGAAAGGAGCTCAGACTCTGAAAAAAGTGCAAGAGCTCAGGCAATTAGCCCAAAAAGGAGGCCAGATTGGACCTTTGGAGGCAAAACAACAAAAAAACTATAAAACTAGTGATTATCTGTCATACAAAATCATAGTGTAGTTACTTGTGTTACCTGAAGGCACAGCAGGGGGGCTGAAGTGAGTGAAGAGTTCGGGTGGGTGCTGCCGCCTCCGTCGCCCAGGATCCAGGGTATTAGCAGGAGATGCAGGCATCTGGAAAGTAAACCAGTAAAGATCTCTTTCATTTTGGCGAGCCAGCCAGGAGTTGTGAAGTGCACATAATGTTTTCCTTTTAAGAAAGTTTATGATGAAAGTTGCCAAGAGTTGCTTGATGCTAATGCCTGTTGATTTTTACAGATAAATGCATGCCATACAGTGCCAGAAACCACACAAGCAAATCTATTTGAGATTACTTCATTTGATGCAGCTTGAGGCAAGTGTGTAATAATTTAGGCATGAAGTTTGCATGACACAAATTACAGGAGTATCAGCTTCCATTCCTGTTAGCTATTTAGAGAAAAACTAAAGAGATAACATTCAGACTTGGCTACTTAACCACTTCGGTAAAGGTAGGGGAATGTAACTATTCAACATCAATGTTTCTACCCAATTTGCTTCTTTAAGTGCAAGATAGAACCAGCAAGGATTGATTTGAGATTCACTTACTGATAGGATGTCTGGAGGAGTAGCCATGTCTCCAAACAGGTCAAACTGATTGATGTTCTGTAAGAAGTCCAAGATGTTGACAAATGAGAGAAAAGCATAAAAGATAAAGGAGGGAAGAATCAGATTTAGGGCATGGTCAGGCATTTTCTCTCATACGGGGCTGAGATCAAGTCCACCAATGAATATAATTAACTTTGATTACTGTTGATGCCTTAGACAGGATTTGTGATAACTGGTTGAGCACTTCATTGATGGAGTGATCCGATGTAGTGTTCAGTCAACAAATGGCATGGTCATTTCTCTATCTACGACAGCGACAAGTCTGTTATGACTCAGGAGACAGCACGACAATAGTACTGAGCTACAATGGTTGAACACTAGGGTGAAAAGTACACTAGTGCAGGAGCTCTCAATTAGGTCCTTAGTGACCTCCAGCCAATCCATATTTTACTTGTATTCCAGCCCCAAAAGCTACTGATACTGGTAATCAAGGGCTGCAGGACAGGCCTGAACAGGACTATGTGAACTGGCTGGTGGTCCCAGAGGATTGGACTGGGGTCTTCTGTACTAGTGACATGGAGTTACTGCATGACATCTATAAGTGAAGGGAAGTGGGTGTCTCACACGCTAACACCAAACACCACAGGACAACAGCACACAAAAAAGTGCAAACATATAGAACATGGGTTTACACACATGGATACTCACAAGCAAAAAAAGTAAGAAAAGTAAGGGCAACGTAAGAAGAAAAAATAGAAAGAAAAACAATGATCACTGTGTAAGGAAAACTGTCTTAGCCCTCTCATGATCACACCAGAGAGTGTAAGTTAGGCCTGCACAGATCCAGTCCCGGAGGGCCACAGTCCGGCCGTTCAAATCCCTGCTTGAATACACCTGAGTCACCCTTAAAAGGTCATGAGTCAGGTATGCTGGAGCAGGGAACACATAAGCTCTTAAATGAGGGGAACCTTCAGGACTGGAGTCCACAGCCCTGGGTTAGGCAGTAGTGACGCTGGATCAGAGTATTGTGTGAAGGAAAGTAGGGGAGGGTGTGAGTGTGACGTGCGTCTGGGAGCTCCAGGCACTCAAAAAGCTCCAACTGAATGAACAGACAAGCAATAACACTTTGTGGAATGGAGGGAGAGCAACAGAATATCATGGAGTCATTCAAGTGAGACAGCAAGGCTCTTTTTTGGCTCAGTAAGCTGAACTCTGAAGATTTGATGACTTTGCAGTACATGCTTTTCTTAGTCTGTAATGCTAATTCAGTGTAAAAGTGAGCAGTTTGGAAATTTAGAATGTCTTACTGCTGCATCTGACAGAAGTCTGTATTTGAGAATCTTTTGTTACAGTGTTTTTGCAGGCAAACAACACAGTGTTGTTGACAATTCAAGAGGACTTATCTAAGGCAGATGTTCGCTCATCAGAAATGTTGGAGCATTGTAACCCATAAGCCTCACCTAATGGCATGCAGTGCAACCACACAGAAGAATCCCAAGAACAAACCTCTCGTGAAAGCTCTCAAAAGATGAAACGAATCAAATGAAATAAATGGTCAGTCAAATGTCAGCCCATCCATCCAGTCCTCAGTTTAGAGCAGGGGTGTCCGATCTTATCCGCAAAGGGCTGGTGTGGTTGCAGGTTTTCACTCCAACAAAGCATGAGGTCACCTGATGAAACGTTTAAAGACTGAGACCAGCTGATTAAACAAGTAGAGTCAGGAGTGCTCCAGCTTGTTTGGAGTGAAAACCTGTAGCCACACCGGCCCTTTGCGGACAAGATTGGACACCGCTGGTTTAGAGTTTTCCCTTCTCCAACACTCCTGAGGAACTTCTGATGGTTTCATAGTTAAACTGGTGAGGTAAATCAGGTGTGTTGATCAGAGAACACCTAAACTATAGACTGGAGATCTCCAACTGACGTCTGAAGCAATACTCAATAACCCTCTTTATGCAGCCCAGAGAACTGGACAGGCATTTAGTAAATGGTTCAGTGATGACAGACTCCCAAAATGAGAGATGGTCCTCCACATGGTCTCCAACTGGCTGGCTTTTTGGGGCCTGGCTAAAGACTCACAGAGAGGTTTGTTGGAGGGGGGATTGGGGGTAGGCGGGTTGGTTTGGTGAGTGATCAGCACACAGAAGCACCTACAGTCATAAAATGGCGTTTTGGAACATCATAGATCCCTTCTTTCTGCTGACTCGTTGGGACCTAAAAGTCGTAACAGGTCATTAACACAAAGCTTCAACTTCACTAAAATATTTATAAAATGTATCATGGTTGCTCAGTTATATAGTTTGCCAGCACTGATTTCCAAAATGTATTATTCTTGTTAAATATTACAGAAACAATATTTACAGCTGCCAGAAAAATTAAATCTTTATCAAAATCAGTTACAGGCCTCCACTAAACCACTATAGCTTCAAACAGGGGTTGGGCAGGGAAGGGGCAGGGCTTGGCAGAGTACCTGGTAAACGCTTTCCTCTGATAGGGGGCCACGGAGAGGCTCGTGTCCAGCTTCAAACACAATGTACTATGGCAGCGACGCGGCAGGAGGAGGTGGAAAAGAGAGAGAGAGACAGTGGGCGGGGCCACACAGGCAGCTGGTCAGACAGGGTTCAACACTGGGCACATGCTAACATGCTAACATGCTGACAGGCTAGCAAATGATTAACCTTAGTTCTGCCACAATTAAAAGCTCTGTCCCCAAAAGCACGAAACAGGGAGCCTGCACTTCAATGAAGGATATAAAGGCAACTAGGAAAACGTTAGCAGTGTCTCAGACATTTACAATACTTACATTAAGCCTGTTGATAAAAAAAAAGTCCCTCAAAAAATGAACATTAGCTAGTAAAGCAATGGAAAACGGGCAGTTACAGAGCAGCGATGTAAACTGTCTATTAACTTTGTCCAGCTACTTCTACAGGGGTCCCTCTATAGGGGTTGGCTAATGCAACGCTGTGCATGTTTAAAGAGGTTAAGGTTGTCTGTATTCAGTTTGAGCAAAAGAGCACTGGGGTTCGAAGGGGAAAGAGTGCATCGGCTGGTGCTGTATATGACTTTCAGTAAAACGTGTACACAGAAAAAACAAAACATGGCTGCACATCGATACACCGTCAATGAAAGAAGTTGAATGGTTAAAGAAAATTCAACTACTGTGGCCGTCTACTGCAAACAGATTAAGTATACTGGAATGGTGGAGTTAAATGAATTATTAATCAAAGCAGAACATGGAAAACTGTTTAAAAACGAGGGAATCCAAGTCCAGTCCTGGAAGACGACAGCACGAAATGGTTTCCCCAGCTTTTACCTCGCTGTAGCACAGCTGAGTTCAATAAAATATATGAAAGCAGGGACGATGTTAAGCTGATAGTGCTGCGGTCTCAGAACTGCAGTTGGGTACCTCTGGTTCATAACGTACAGTTAACGTTTGGTTGTGTAGCAAAGGTCTGAACTCTGCTTACCTGATATACAGGGTCATCAGTGTCGTCTTCGAGAATTGTCTGTGACGGATATGGAGATAGCGAGGTGGTTTTTTGAGAATAAGCATAAAAGTAGAGGTAAGTGAACCGAGAGAGATGAAAATGTCATGAACACAGACAAACTGGATATCACAGAAAAACACATTTCCTTGTTTTATCTCACCAAAATAGTTTGATGTACTCTGTAAACATTGTTGAAGTTTCAAATCATATTGTTCACACCCCAATGCAAACATAGCCTGTTTTGAAATGATGATGGGTGTGATGTCACAAGACAGGAAAATTGTCTCATAAAAATAAATGAACAACAGTTACAACTGTACACAAAACTGAACTGGCTGTTCAACACTCGGCATCCACACACATTTACGTCATATGTGGTATTTGAATTTTTAAGACCCCCCCCGACCCCCCCAAAAAATCTGGGATTTGGCTTTTCATTTGCATTGCATCTAATTTTTATTTATCCCGTGAAAGAAGCTCCACATAGGACTCTTAAGCCTACCCCACACCTGCTGCGCCAGGTGGACAACAAGCATCGTCCAAAAAATAGTTTTTAATGAAGATTTGCACAACACCACCGACATTCAGCACTGAAGCACATTGTCTCTGAGCACCACTCAGCATTTCAGTTACGGCATTTCATTAAATCCAGAACCCGACCACAAAACAGCATCGTAGACAAATGATAATCATCTGTTACCACAGCTAACGTTACTAGCCTAGGCACATTGTACCTTTCCACTTTAAAACAGCAAGTATGAGGAGTTAGCTGATACCAAATGTGAAAGTCTCGGTAACACTTTACTTAAAGGGTGTTCATATAACACATTCATAACGTCTTTCATAAACGCTTCATAACATGCTCATGAATGTTTAAATCAACATTCATAAAGCATACACATTTTATGTCATATTAATATGCAATACTATGTCATTTTACTGAGAGACATTTTTCAAAATGAAGGTTCTCATTTTTTATATTATTTTCAGTAAAGCGCCTCATTTCTGGGCAGACAAAATAAAAATGGCCTCCTAAATAGAACCATCTATAGCACATTCTCCATCAATCTGAAGAACGCTTTCATGTTTCATTCAACACTGTAACTATGCAAAAGGTTCTTTGTGTGTTCATGATTCTATATAGAACCATTTTCTTTACACAAGAACCCCTGAAAAAAACAGCTTTTTTAAGTGTGTACTTAGATTTTCCATCACTACTCGAAAATGACATTCATATGCAATATTAAGTTTACAAATTTGATTTCTCTACAGATGTATTTCTGTACCTGGTACACAGCCTGTTCACAGTGCTTCTCTTTCTGAGCTTTCTTCTCCACTTCCTCCCTCTGCTTTATGTCGTAGATGAGTGTAAAGAGGTCACGCAGCTCCAGGATCAGAGGCTCCGCCTGCCAGGACAGACAGGAAGCAGAGCGAGGATCAGAACTGGGAAATCCTTTCATATCTTTCTAAAAGTCAGCCAGACTTATGCAAGATCAGACATTGTTACTAGTGCAGTGTGACCATCAATGTATTATGTAGTTCAGAATATTAATAGGCTTCCCTTTTAGAATAGACTTTAACATCAGTGTAAAAAAACATGTAGCAAAACCCTAGAAATCACCTGGAATACCATAACAACCATGTAGCAAAACCCTAGAAACCACCTGGAATACCATAACAACCATGTAGCAAAACCCTAGCAACCACCTGGAATACCATAACAACCATGTAGCAAAACCCTAGAAACCACCTGGAATACCATAACAACCATGTAGCAAAACCCTAGAAACCACCTGGAATACCATAACAACCATGTAGCAAAACCTTAAGAACCACCTGGAATACCATAACAACCATGTAGCAAAACCCTAAAAACCACCTGGAATACCATAACAACCATGTAGCAAAACCCTAGAAACCACCTGGAATACCATAACAACCATGTAGCAAAACCCTAAGAACCACCTGGAATACCATAACAATCATGTAGCAAAACCCTAAGAACCACCTGGAATACTATAAAAAAAAACATGTAGCAAAACCCTAGCAACCACCTGGAATACCATAAAAATCATGTAGCAAAACCCAAGCAACCACCTGGAATACCATAACAACCATGTAGCAAAAACCCTAGAAACCACCTGGAATACCATAACAACCATGTAGCAAAACCCTAGGAACCACCTGGAATACTGTGAAAAACATGTAGCAAAACCCTAGCAACCACCTGGAATACCATAAAAACCATGTAGCAAAACCCTAGGAACCACCTGGAATACTGTAAAAAACATGTAGCAAAACCCTAGCAACCACCTGGAATACCATAACAACCATGTAGCAAAACCCTAGCAACCACATGGAAAACCATAACAACCATGTAGCAAAACCCTAAGAATCACCTGGAATACTGTAAAAAAAAAAAAAATTTAGCAAAACCCTAGCAACCACATGGAATACCATAACAACAATGTAGCAAAACCCTAGCAACCACCTGGAACACCATAACAACAATGCAGCAAAACCCAAGCAACCACCTGGAATACCATAACAACCATGCAGCAAAACTCTAAGAACCACCTGGAATACTGTAAAAAAACATTTAGCAAAACCCTAGCAACCACCTGGAATACTGTAAAAACGTAGCAAAACCCTAGCAACCACCTGGAATACCGTAAAAACATGTAGCAAAACCCTAGCAACCACCTGGAATACCATAACAACCATGTAGCAAACTCTCGCAACATGAATTTATGATTTTTTACTTCTTGTACGAAAAACAACAAAGAATGAAAAAAACATTACAGTCAAAGTTCTCAATTCAATTCAATTGTCCTCTGAGCGCATTCAGCTGTCCAATGACATCGCATTAGCGGCAGTTTGAAAAGATGTGGTGGTATCGTGATTAGGGGGGTCCTAATGGTCCAGTGAGTGGAATTGTATATGACTAAACTGAGGAGAAAATGGGTAAAAAATGGTACATGGTAAAGTGAAGAAGAGCATGGCTATGGATAATCACCGAATGGCCCGTCTTGATGGCCACAAACTTGTGGTTGCCCTCTTTCCCACAGACGTAGCCGAAGGCACGGTGGTCTCTGGTGTCTTTGGCGATGTAGGAGATTTCATGCACAGAATGGTGGTGCTGTAACACCTGTGGGTCAGAAACATCCATTAAAACAAACTCCACAGAAAGATTACCAGCATTACATTAGTGCAGATGAGTCTACTCTTCGACAGACTTCACTGATGTATGTTGTGCTGTAGAACATTGAGAATGGAGTTATAATACTTAACATCCACTATTCCACATATTTAACTAAATCTCAATGCAGAGAAATCCATACGGAATTACTGATCGTGTATTTTACAATTCATAATTGTGAAATACAATATCAATTCTTCTTATTATTTTTTTGCCGGATTGTTGTCCATCGTTTTGGTTGGACATATAGTTTCTTTTTTTTCCCCCATAAGAATGAACAAGGAATTGAATATGTGGCCAAAAGTTTGAACACCCTTCATGTGTTTCATTGATAGAAGCACACTAGCAACACTCTAAGAACTACCTGGGATACCACAGCAACCACCTAGTAAAACCCTAGAAACCACCTGGAATACCATAACAATCATGTAACAAAACCCTAGCAACCACATGGAATACTGTAACAAACATGTAGCAAAACCCTAGCAACCACATGGAATACCTTAACAACCATGTAGCAAAACCCTAGAAACCACCTGGAATACGGTAACGCCATGTAGCAAAACCCTAGGAACCACCTAGAATACCGTAACGCCATGTAGCAAAACCCTAGAAACCACCTGGAATACCGTAACGCCATGTAGCAAAACCCTAGCAACCACCTGGAATAGTGTAAAAGCCATGTAGCAAAACCCTAGCAACCACCTAGAATACCGTAAAAGCCATGTAGCAAAACCCTAGCAACCACCTGGAATGCTGCAACAACCATGTAGCAAAACCCTAGAAACCACTTGGAATACGGCAACAACCATGTAGCAAAACCCAAGTAACCACCTGGAATACGGTAACACCATGTAGCAAAACCCTAGGAACCACCTAGAATACCGTAACGCCATGTAGCAAAACCCTAGCAACCACCTGGAATACTGTAAAAGCCATGTAGCAAAACCCTAGCAACCACCTGGAATGCTGCTACAACCATGTAGCAAAACCCTAAGAACCACCTGGAATACTGTAACAACCATGTAGCAAAACCCTAGCAACCACCTGGAATATCAAACACATCCTGGCAACCACCAGAAATACCATATCAACTATCTAGAAGCACCCTATCAATACCAGGGAACTGCTTAAACTGCGCAGTCACTCTGCATTTTCATGGTGAAATGCACTTTAGTTACAGTATATTATCATTTAACTTCTTGTTTATCTTTACCCATAGTGCACGAGTTATTACTGAACAAAATAACAATCATCACCAAGACAACAAGAGTCCAAACGTACGGCCTCATACAATCGTTCAGCAGGCATGAAACTGTAAGCCATGTTCCGCTGTGGATAACTATGAAACAATCTGCAGCTGAATGAGAAAATGCTTCCCATATAATTGTGACAAAATAAGAAACAGAAATCTGTGTTCAGAGTCGACGGCTAAGCTCTGAGCTAATCCTCAGCATCCAAACTGTTCTGCGTTCTGCTCTGCCTATTGTTGGGAATGTAGAATAGCTTCTGTGATCATGAGAAACGCAGCAAGGCTACATTAGCGGTTTCAGGGCAGTTTCAGATAAACCTATGTGCAGAGGCTTCAGGGGCAGATTAGCCCCCCTCACAGACTGAGAAAGAACACTGCACTGTGTGAGTCACTTGAGCCTGTGGCTTAATTTAGTCCAAGAATAAGATTAAACCCTATCTGGGAAAGTAGTCTATTGGGTTTAGTGGCACAACAAGCATTAGATGGTGGAAAACTTGGGTTGTTATACATACAGCTCTGTATTTTTGGGCTTCTTTCAAGCAACAGGGTTATACTAACAGGCCAAATGAGGGAGGCCTGCAGGGCTGCAGGGTCTCAGGTCCCCCTGGACAATGAGCACTGCTGCTGTGTCCTTGTGCAGGGGGCTTAACCACAGCTGCCCCAGTGGTGAAAACCCCCATCACGTGATAAAAAGGATTCAAAGCGTTTCCAGCAGCACCTAGGGTTTAGCGTTAGGTATTGTTATGTTTATGTTTTTATGTTTATCTTGTTATGTTTCACTATAAATTGTGTTCATTGATATTTAGTTGAATGCAGACTTTTTATGGTGTCATGATTTTACGGTTACTCACAGCGTCTGATCTGATGCTTAATTTAATTAAACGACTTTAGCGAAACACAGATTTAATTGCTTTTGCATCTATTACCGCCTTTGAGCTACAGTTCAATAAATCAGGGGTTTCCGGCGTATTTAAGCCGTGACCCCCTACCCTGAAACACCATTGGAGCTCATAGGGCTGGTAGACTGTCTCTGCATCCCACGTCGGTTAACACACGCTACATTGCTAGTTATTGATTTCGTAGCACAGCATAGCTACCAAATGCATGGAAAACAGGCCGTTATTGGTCATAAATAAACCAAATAACCACTTTACAAACATCCAGCAGTTTCCTTGCTGCTCAGTCACTCTAAACGAAGTGACCTGCACACTTTTGTGCGCCTTTTAGCGTAGTAAGCTAATGATAACGTAATACTGATACACATCAAGTCAGCAAAGGCAGCTGCTTTGCTCAGAACTGCACACCGCTGGCTCTCAGTGTTAGCACAGCATGACACAGTGGGATATCATTGGGCTGGAAGGTTTTACCAGAAAAGACATTCTCAAAATAGCTGTTATTTTCCAGCAACTAGTCACGATTCCCTGAGAGCCACTGCCTTAATCAACATAGCGGCCTACAAATACCTCCAAAGAACATGACGTTCCTTGTTTTTTTGTTCATTTCATACACGGAAACACATTTTTTGACTAGGCTTTCATAAATGAAAATGAAAAGTCAAACCACCTAGTTGAATGAATGGATATTTAGTTAAAAGCATCTACAAGTATCCATTAAATGAATAATTACCAAATATGACTATTTTATTTTTTACTTTATGCTACTTATTTCATGCTATATTTAGAGGTACATGTGCTATTTGATTTCTTAAAATCCACCGTTTTCCAGTTAAACAAGTATGACTTTGAACAGTGTACTCTAAACGCTAAAAGGGAAAAAGAAAACATGCGGGCATTTGGGCTAATTAGCTGTTGATTAGTGGGGATGGGTGCAGGGCTGAGCTGCTCGTCTGTCAGGCTGCAGAGCAAAATCACTTCATCATCCTCAGAAAGAGCAGCAGGACTCCAACCTCCAGAGAGCTCTCCTCACACAGAGGGAAGCCCTTATCTCCGCGAGTGAGACTGGGAACCAGTCCAACCAGCTTCAGATCCACATTAATATTTTAAAGACCAAATGAGGCCCATCTGAACACTTGTTTTTAATGTAACTACAGGGCTTCTTAATTCGCGAGTCTTCGTGTGGAATTTGATTCAGCTCCACTGATATTTTTAACCAGGATTTTGGTCAGATAAATTCAAATAAACTAATCATTTTAAAAAACCCACTTGACTCTAACCCCTGAAACATCAAGATCAGCTATCAGTTATTAATCTTAAAGGTTATATATATATAACATTTTCAGCATTAATATAGCAGCAAACAACTATTTTCTATGTAAAGATTTAGTGGTGTAATGACGTCCGGAGCAGAGAATTCCTGGAATTACGTAACAGCGATGTAGCAAAATCCTAGCAACCACTTGGAATACTGCAATAACCATGTGGCAAAACCCAAGCAACCACCTGGAATACTGTTAACAACCATGTAGCAAAACCCTAGCTACCACCTGGAATACTGTTAACAACCATGTAGCAAAACCCTAGCAACCACATGGAATATCGTAACAACCATGTAGCAAAACCCTAGCAATCACCTGGAATGAAGTCACATTCCCTCTGTGTGAGCTGTAATCTGAGCTTCTCTTTGTTTTACTTCCACAGCCAGAACGGCCGCGCGTGCATGTCAGTCCCGCCCTGTGAACACGTTGGCCCTCCCCACGTTTTGCTTTGCCCTTCTCACAATTTAAGGCGGAACGGGAAAATTCAAACAAGAAGCTGGTGAAAAAGAAGCTTCACCTTCATTAAGAATTTAAAAGTGTGAAAAGGGATGAGGAGGCCGCTCCTGCTGAACAGGTGGGTAACATTCACTAATTTTTGTTGTTTCACAGAATCAATAAGTCAGTACTGTTTCACCTTGTTTACAAATGTTTATGTTAGCAACTGGTTAGCTTCACAACAGCCACTGTAGTTTGCTAACCCACTACTGAGCTAATGCTAGCTACATTACTTGCTGTGTTGCTGATTGCTCTCTCTCTATATTATGGTATTTGTGTGTTCACTGATTGCGAAGGGTTTTATGGCCACAAAGATCGAAATAAGTGTGTTGGCCTCGACAGTGCGTGTCCACGAATTTGGGGGATGGAGTTTCTGAAGGAGCACTGGAGGGAGGGGTGTGTTTTTTGCTGTTGAGTTCAAATATCAACAGCTGTTCATATAGGTGACAAAGGAAAAACCAGCAAAAAAGTGTCTTAATTTGGTGTTGGACCAGCACGAGCCACCAGAACAGCTTCAATCCACCTTGTCATAGGTTCTACAAGTCTCTTGAACTATAGTGGGGGGATGAAACACGATTCCTCGGAAAGATACTCCCTCAGCTGGTGCTGTATTGATTTGTAGTGACTCATTTACTGGGGACATGTGGACCCAAACCATGCCGGCAAAACGCAGAGCATAGCAGAGCCATTGGACCCCTCACTGCAGGGGTCAAACATTTAGGCCTGCGCTGTTTTGCTGGTGCACATGCACTCTCCCACCTGTGGACACTCTGCTAAAGGATCTGATCACATACCACATCTGATGGTTTTTAGACCACTGAACTCTTAAAGGGCATAAATAAAATCAGATCAGCGCAGTAAATCGTACATGGATCACTTGTACCTGCAGTCCGAACGTAGCCTTTATGTTTAACTAGCTTGGACTTTCTCCCACCTGTTACCTGGACTTATTAAGGATCCACCATGACTCTGACTGAGTTTGACGTGAGGATGTGGCCAAATAAAAAGACTTCATTCATCTTCCTCAAGTCATTGCAATCCTGTCTATTGTGATCATCTCAAAAGGCTCTGAAACCTCCAGGGATCAAGGCAGCAAGGCAAAGAGGCAAAGTAAAGCAGGCGGCAGGAAACGAGCGGTCACTCACCCCTGATCTCTCATCGTAGATCTTGATTCCACTGAAGGAGACGGTTAAGAACACTCGCTGCTTGTGCTCGCCTTTGGACCGTGCCGAGGCAGCGATCCCCTGCAGGAGACAAGAAGGAAAGGCAGCTGAAGGAGGAGAAAGAAAAAGTGAAAATCAGCAGAAACAGCGAGGTGCCTGTAATCAGAGGACAGAGGGGAGAGGTGGGTTACAAGTGTTACATAAGGCATGTCAAACTGGGCTTTGACAGCTCTGCAGAGATTAGCCGAGCATCTTCCCTCGTTTAATGTTCACAATCCAGTTCACAAAGGTCTCAAAGTAGCTGGATCAAGTGTGTTTGATGAGGCAGACTGCTGAGGACAGCAGCGTTGTGGCTTGTGAGAACTGATATACGTCAGCTAACAGGTCAGAATTTCCACCGTAACTGTTGTCTTTAAACAAAAGCAAAGCTCTGGACTCAGATTTCTTAAAAGCGCCACAGTTAACACATTAGTTTACACAATTTTCCTTTCACCCTAAATGTAGATGATCAGCCAAAACATGTTTGTCTGATGTTTGTTTCTTTAATGGTTCACTGGAGCTACATGGCTAATGAAGGCTTAGGCACATCTGAAGCATCTAAATCATCACACACTTGCCTATCTCAGATAGACTTGCTTATGTTCGTCCGACACTGTATGACACAGTGTTGTCACGGGGCTACACCGAACAGTGATTTACAGGCTTTTAATACGTCCAAATGAATACTTGAATACTTATCAAGCTGCAATTCAAAATATATCCAAAAGGAGCTTGTGTACTGTACACTCCCAAAAATAAAGGTAGTAAACTGTCACTGGGGCAGTACCTCTCTTGTCACTGGGGTGGTGCCCTCAAGGGTACATCTCAGTACCTTTAGTCAGGGATACACATAACTGTAACATAATCCATTGAATTATATTGTCTAAGCTGTGCTGACTCCACACACCCCGTCTCGTCTTCAGGCTTTTATTTTATTGTACTGTTTTAAAACATTCGGTTATGAAAAGGTACAAATACGAACTTTTCACCTGGAAAAACTTATTTAAGGTTCACAACTGGACCTTAAAACCACTGTTGTAGCTTTGAGGGAAGCTGCCCTTCACGCCCATCAAGCTAACCTTCATGCTGTTGACTGGGGTTCGGTCCCCCGTCTGGACAAACACCCTAGTGCAGTCCTTGGGCAAGACTCCTAACACTACCTTCGCCTACCTCTATCAGACCGTCAGCTCAGTTTAAAACACTGTTATCATGGCTGGCTCTTCTCCTCTGTAACGGCACTTTTTTATCCTAATTTAATTTCTAATTTGATTTTTAATTTAATGATTTCCTTTTCTTAAATCTATCGTTTTAATCACGTTTTAATCGTGTTTTTAATTTCTGTTTTCCTTCACTTTACTTTTTTAAAACACGAGAGGCTGTGCGTTACTGCGATTTTATCACGGGAAGGGTGTTCTTAGGCATGACGTGAAGCGGAGTCCCTAAAACGAACTATACGTTTTATAAAAATAAACTTGCCTTGCCTTGCTTACCTCTGTAAAACAAAGAAACTGTAATAGAATCCAAAAGAGATCATCATTGGGTCTGACTGGTGGGAGTTTTTCGGACCACGTCATACGTTTTTATGTATTAGCATCACAAGCACAGACTCAAAAAGAAGCTCGATAGGTCTCAAATGCAAAATAAACATTATACTGATGAAGATATGATGACAATGATAGATAATCCACTCACATCCTCAGAAGACGCGTCCTTCACCGAGCTTCGACTTGAATTCTCTTTTAACACATTCATTCGCTTGGAGAAGGGGTCCGAAACACAACCCACATCACAAAAGGTGCGATCAAAGTGTGCAATTACATATTGCCACTGAAGAAGTCTCAAAATCGCCAAATCTTACATTGTGTAGCTTTAAGATTAGCTTAACCGTTAGAGAGAGTGCTGCAGGTGATCCTCTCATGCTCCTTTGATGACCTTTGCATAGAGCTGCTGGCCGTCTGCACTTTAAGCAAGACAGCCTGTACTGAGGTATAAAAACTCAAGTCTCCACTAAAACTTCATCAGCCTCTAAAGCGCAGTTTCCCATGGACTTTAAGGTTTAATGACTTCAAATTCTCACACGTCCCACGATCGCATGCTGAGTAGGCCGATCACCTGACATCTCCTTCATCTCAGCGCTATTGATGGACAGCACGTTCCGCTTGAAAGCCTGCCTATGTGGGCGAACACGCGCACTCTGATGTACCTACGCGAGAGAGTTAAGCACGGTCATTAATGAGCTCCCTCTGACCTGTCAGAGCGCGGCTGAAGCCTGACGGAGGAACAAAGAGCACAGGGCTGCTGAACACTACGCTTCAGCTCGGCCGCTAATCGACAAGCTGCCAGCGTCTTCAGTGGATTAGCGCTCGGAGTCTTTGAAGGCCAGGCTGCTGGAGCTCTCTGCATGCCTACCCACGTAATAGCAGCCTGGATCTAAAGGAAGTTCTGAGCCGCTGATGTGGCTTCAGGGCGCTGCTTAAATGCCAAAGCTCTCTGCCAGAAATCATATGCACATTTGCACCACTCACATGCAATTTATGAGCTTTTTTGACCACAAACAAGTTGTTGTTATAGGCCTTGGAGTGTCTGACATCAGAAATATAGGCCTATGGTTTTTTTTATACATTCACAGCAAACAGCAAAGTGGTCAGTGGTAAATGAGCCTTGTGCTCAACTGTTTCCAGCCTTCAGGGTAAACGGTAGGTGTTGATTTAACACCTCCAATTCCACTGTGTTCTCACTGTGATATTCATGTTCAGTATTCTTACTATCACTTGAAGGACATCACGTTTTGGCACATTTGGGCTGTTACTCGAATTCTAAATTGGTGCTCCATCTCAACCTTGTCATTCTCCAGCAGACTGAGCTTTTTATCATTAATTAATACTGTTTTTAATAATCTATTTGTTTTATTTAACACCACATTTTAAATGTTTATAGTGGTCTATGTTGAGTATTTGTGTTTTCACACACAATTGTTCAAGATAGCAGTTTTACGAGCCTACATTGCTGATGTTAACACACAGCATTAACAACTATAGATTAAAGCTACTATAATTAACTAATCCGTGGGTCAGCAACCCAAATGTTAAGAGCCATTTTGTCCTTTCAACAAAAATCAAACAACCTTGGGAGCCACAAAATTTTCTGTCCATTTCACCATCTTAGCTGTAAATATGTCTCAGTCTGTGCTAATGTACTAGTATAGACTAAAAAATATTAAATAATAACACGCAGACTTACTTCGCTCTGCTTTAAGTTTAAAGCCGCTTTTCTCACATCTCCAGCAGGAAACTTTTCCTCAAAAGTGGAACAGTTTCTTGTAAAATGTGTCAATGTTTGATTTTTTATGCGACCTGAAGTCGCTTTTCATTCGCCAGCTTCTTTCCCGTTCCACCTTAAATGTAACTGATTTTAAATGCAAATGAGTCCATTATTAATTATCGATGTTCATCTTAAATCTCTCTCTTTGCCTTTTCGTTACCTACTAGCTAGGCAAGACTGTTGTCTGTGTTGCTATGGTGACAAGCAGTCACCATAGGGCCAAACTTAAAGGGTGAATTACCAGTTATAGGCTACATTAAGTAGTTAGAACGATTAGCAGAGGAGGATTATTTTATTTTTACCTAAATATCTAATTCTGCTGTGGAGCCACAACAGGGCAGCCGCACGCGGCTCCGGAGCCTCATGCTGCTGACCCCTAAACTAGGCCAATTAAGGGACTGTTTTCTGGCTAATGCTACAGCGTCAGCCTCAAAGCCCTTAAGAATAAAATGTGACCTTCTCATGGCAAATCTGTTTTTTTTTTTCCTTTGAAATGTCTGGACAGCTCACTGCAGATACTTTGAACATATTGCTGCTGTCTGAAAAAAAACCTCCAAAACTTTACAGGAGAATGAAAAACGTTCTTAATTTTTAATGGAAGTTAATGGAGAAAAGATTCATTTTAATTCATTTTGGACCATTTTCATTAAACCATTCATCATGACTGCCACTTTGATACATAAAGGGTGGCTGGTGATTTCAAATTAAAAAAAATGAAACCTTAAAGCAACAACATGTAAAAATCGTAGCTTAAAATAACAGCAAAATCAAAATCATTTTTATGGCACAGTGACTTATGCACGCATATGAAACCATGAACAATCAAAGTACCTTTTGCACGATTAAAGGGTTCTTTACATGGTGAAATGGTTCTTCAGATTGATCAGGAATGTGCCGTAGATGGTTCTATATGGAACCATTTGAAAAAGATTTTATATAGCACCAAAAAGGGTTCTTCCACTGTTATAATCTTGACATCATAACAAAAGAAGAACTTTTTTTGGAACCATATATAACACATTCTGCATCAATCTGAAGAACCATTTCACCATGCAAAGAACCCTTTAATCATGCAAAGGGTGCTTTGATTGTTCATGGTTCTACAGAGAACCATTTTCTTTACTGAAGAACCCTGAAAGGACCATCTTTTTTATCACGCAAAGAGTTCTTTGAGTGTTCATGGTTCCATATAGAACTACTTTCTTTGCTAAAGAACTCTTGAAGAACCATCATTATTAAAAGTGTAATGATGGTTATATAACAAAAAGGAGTCCCTCACACTGTCCACTACCAAGGACACCAACATATTCACCGTTTACTGTTTTATATAAAATGTGATTCCTCTACATAAATATGATACTGTTATGATATGAAAGTTGCCCACAGGAATTTTGAGCATTGCAGTATAAACAGTCTTTTCTTGTCTTTTTGTGCCGAGTTGCCTCACACTGACCTAAATTCTCTGAATGGATTATCTTTGATGCCCTCTAAGCATTCTACAGCTGTGTGAGCCCGTCTGATCAAGATTATCTCAAAACATGAAAGTCATATAACGCTGACCGGCCGCGCGGCACACGACGTAACTGCAGCACAGAAAGCAGCAGAACTGCAAGCAAAAATGCACAAGAGATGGTCCGTAAGGCCCACTCTCATTTCACCCTTGACCCCTACCACCTAGCCCTACCCCTCCGGTTTGGCACATTCACAGCTAGGGGTAGGGTGTCCCGATTTTTGTTCAGATAGAGGGGTAGGGCGAAGTGTTAGGGCTACATGACCCTCCAAATGGAGGTGTTTCAGAGGAAAACAGGCTACATGGCTGCACAAGTGACCAAAGAAACCCACAAATGTGAGAATTTTCTCTGTTAAAAAATACAACAACCATCGTAATTTCTTAGTTTAATGTCATTTCAATGTATTATGGTCCTTTTCTTCATAACCAGCATAAAAAATTGCTAGTAGTATCCAGATGTCTCTGTAGTTAGCTCGCTAAATTTCCCGTTCCACCTTAAATGGTAAAGCAGTTACATTCTGGCAACTCAGATGCCAGAACTGCTGCTCCATTTAAGGTGGAACGAGAAAATTTGACTTCAACTTCATATCACTGAAGAATTAAGGGTGGGGGATAATAAATAATTGCCCCCTCCCTCTTTGAAGGCATATGATTCCCAAAATGTAACTAAAGCCCAGCAGTGAGGAGCTGAACTTTACCCTCCTCTGCTGTCACTGCAGACTGGCAGGGTCGCCTACAGAGCAGCGCTAGTAGCTGTTAATGAAGTAGTGCTCTTTTTATTTGAGGGGCCCATTTCATAGGGAAGATTTCAACCACTAACACTTGTAACTCAGTTCCTAGGGACAATGTGACACTTGAAAACAAGGGGTGGGGGTTAAAATAAGAAATGGGACTGGGCCTAAGAGTGATGCTTGACATCCAGGGCTGTAGAGAGCGACAGATGCCATCAGCCGCATTGCTATCATTGAGGTTTACTTATACCCATAATCAAACAATGCACTGGTTAGCTCAAGTCTAGATCTAGTGCTTCTTTTAGCCTTAGCCTTAGTATTAGTTTGATGTTACCTCTAGCATCAGCTCTACCATTACATTAAATGTTAGCTTTAGCTTTATCTTTAACATAAGCTCATCTGAAGGGGCTCTTGTTACTCAGAGCTCCTCTTTACTAGACACCAAAATCTACAGCTTTAACTCACAGTGGCTTAAAAATCTCCCAGATTTGAAAAATATTAAAACAATTTCCAGAACTTGTGCTTTAAATTTTCTTAATTTGCAAACACTAAAAACTATTTTTCTAAACTTTCTTTTGTCTGTAATCGGGTTTCCTGTTTACAGATATTACTGGGGTCACAAGATTGCAGTGTTAATCAACTCTTGTAATCAATGTATGTATATTAAGTTGTTAAAACTACATACAATTGAGAATAGAATATAATAATAAATACAAATAAATGCATTTTTAAAAATATTATTATTCATATTATTATATTAACAAATATATTTTTGGCCATTTTCATACATTGCAAATATTTATTTCATAAATACATTTGAAGAAAACATTTAAAATGCATTTTAACAATATATTTAAAAGATATATTTAACAAATACATTTTTGGCCATTTTCGTACATTGCAAAAATGTATTTGATAAATACATTTGAAATATATATTTTTCCCATATGGTTTGGTAAAAAGTAAACTCTTAGCTTCTTTCAGCACAAACAGGTCTTAACTGATCAGGCTGATTTGGTGGGCTGTGGATGACGATCATCAATATCATAAACAATAGAAATGCATGCTTTTAGTAATATATGTAATGACGATTTTAGTTCCAAATGTGAGCGGCAATCAGACAATTAATTTCCTTACTACTGTCAAGGAATGTTCATTTTCTCCTCCTTTTCATAATTATACTTTTATATATCTGAACAGGGTCAATCATACAGCCCTGTGATGGACTGGCGACCTGTCCAGAGTGTTTCCTGCCTTCCACCCAATGACCACTGGGATAGGCTTTAGCCCCCCGCCGTGACCCAGAATGATAAGCGGCTTAGAAAGTGTGTGTGTGTGTGTGTGTGTGTGTGTGTGTGTAAATCATACTGAGCCCAAATCTTCACAAGGGGTCCTGTTTAGAATATACAGTGAGTTACAATTTGCATTTCTACAGGACATAAATGAAAGTATAGTGTACAGAGATTTCATAATAAACCTAAACCTTCGTTCTGTTTATTCTACATCTTACAAACATTCAAAGTCTTTGGAGAAGCCGACTGATCAGACGACTGATTGCTGTCTGGATTGTAGGCGATTCAGTCGAATGTCATCTTCCAGTTTGCCAAAAAATATGAAACCTACTGTTTTTTCTCATAGCAGTGCGTGACAGGCTCGGTTCTCGTGTAAAGTCTTTCTAAAGCCCAGGCCGCTTCACGTCACACGGCTTTACCTTCAGCTTCATCATGGAGTCCTGGCAGAGCTTGTCTCCACGAGCCGCAGAGACATCATCAATACCAATCAGCTTGGCCTTGTAGCGGACGCCATCGCCCCTGAAGCGCTTAATCAGAGCCTGCTCACTGCGGTCCTGACCTGAGAGAGAGAGAGAGAGACAGCGAGAGAGAGAGGCAGACGAAAGGAAAAAGAAAGATAAATAGGTGAACGATCACAACTGATGAACTTCCTCTTCATGCAACGTTCAGCCTGCAGAGAGGGAATTCCGACTGTCCTCTCTCTCTGGGTGGGTCGGATGGTCCACCCTCGTCCCCAATCACTCACCGCAATCCTAGCCAACGTGGGCATCTGTTAGCTGACGTGACAGAGCTGGCGGTTAATGTTCTCCTCCAAGCGTGATGATGCTGCATTACAGTCTTTAAAAAAATAAAAACTAACGTTCCACAAAGTGTTCACTGAGTGACGCCAGGCAAGAACCACTTTTGGTTCCCTAGGTTTGAACCAGTGAGTGTGAAGAACCTAATAAATTTAAAGAACCTTCACAAAATGTGTAAGTTTCTATACCAGTTTAGCGGACGCCATCGCCCATTCATCCTAGAACCTTTAGATTACGTTGGAGGTTCTTCAAACTTGAAAAAGGTTCTTCACACTCACACGACTTTACAAAAATTGTTCTCTAAAGATCCTTCCATTGAAAGTAGAGCTGGGCGGTAACTTCAGCAGGCCATGCTGGACAGTGCTTGTGAAAGCATCTATGAATAAATCAACAAACAATAATCATCAACAACATGATGAATTATTAATGGCACTTATTTTTTCAGATGTTGCGAGAACCATCACGATTATAAAATTTCAGCTGGCGATTAATTGCCACATAAATAATTGCGATTAATGATTTAATTGTCTTTTTTTTGTTCTTTCTATGCAGCAATTAAAGTCCAAGCCTGACGTGTCCAACTTTTACAGACATGCATTCACATTTTGCTTCTCGTGGCATAATGTCACGCATTCCTCCGGCTCGGGCTCTCTTACGAACTCCATTTCCCAGAACTCCTTGAGACATCATGTGACTGTAGCTCCACCATCATCCACCAATCAGCGCTCATCCTCACCTGAACATTCATCTGTTTCACCTGTTCTCTGCATCATGTGATCATAGCTAGTTAGGATATAAGCCCAGGCTTTAGACTAGATCAGTGAGAGGTATTGCTTCTGTCTGAGTGGTCATTCTTGTTGTCATTGCCTTACTGTGACTGATTGGACTTTGCTTCTGGACGCTTGACTACGCCTTCTGTCTTGCCCCTTTTGTACCCAGTTACTTTTATGTTTTTCCTTTTATGTTTTTGGATCTTCCTGGATTTGACCTGCTTGTTGCGTTCAAACAAGTAAAGCCTCATTCTCTGATTTTAACCGCACTTTTAACCGCGTCTGACCAGGTCTGTCTCCATACACGTAATATGACGACTGTGGAAATGTTTGCAGTCAGCTTAAATAACTATATTCATCTCAGGCGATTATGTCATAGTTGTGACAGGCCTACATTTTGTTAACGCTCGGTCCTAGTTTGGTCGTTGCTTGATGCTTCGACTCATCTGCCGAAGCCCAGCTGCTCAATAACAAAAGCAACAGCAAAGAGTAAAGCTCCAGTTACCCTCGAGAGCCTCCTCTGTAATAAGACTCGCCGAGCTGTATAAACGAGAGTGAGGGGCTACAATCTAATCAGGTTTATTTTGAGGAAAGCAACATCCTGTGTAAATATTAGGGTATATATATATGTTATATTAGGGACTTGGCAGGTTTGGTTGGATTAAAACGAACCCTGGTGAAATTGTTCTGTCAGTGCAGTTTGTTAGAGCTGGTTTGTTGACCTGCCATCCTGAGCAGGTCAGTCTCGGTTCGCTTCAGAACGAACGTGGGTGCAGCTCATCTGAAGCGTGAAAATAATACATACCATGACGCCTAAACAGACCAAAGACAGAGTGACCATCGCCTCATCTGTGCAGAACTTCTTTGGTTCATGGAAAAAATGAGACAATGTCACTGACCCTCCTGATGATGCTGCTGCACAGACTCGAACTATTTAATCAGAGCCACTGCTTAATGTGCTTTTCCCCTTTCCTGTACTTCAATATGTTATACTAACGTTAAAACCTTGTTCTCTGTTTACGTAGCTCTGTTATTGTTTGCTATCCTGTGTCGACCAGAGGAGAATGGGTTCCCCTTTTGAGGTTTCTTCCTCTTGCTCTTAGGGAGTTTTTCCTTGCCACTGTTGCCATTGGCGACGCTCATGGGGGCTCGGACCCGGATTTTTCTGTAAAGCTGCTTTGCAACAACACCTGTTGTAAAAGATGCCATATAAATAAACCTTGACTTGACTTGAGTTTCTGATACTGTTTTGACACGTGCATGCGTTTTATCATCTCTTCATAAGCTCTGAAAGGCTGAGGCACATTTGAAGTCATTATGAAACACTCAATATACACATTTGACTACACACATAAATTATATTATATATTTAGCTGCCAAGGTTTCTCCATTTTGTAAAAGCAGTGAGCCACTCAAGACGGTTATAGGGATTTCACTGCTCTGCGTCGTGCAAAACCACAATAATGCAGGGAGTCTTGTGGCTTATTGCTCTAACATCACAAGACAGACAAAACAAGACATAAATAAATCTTAAATGACGGCAGACAGAACAGAGAACTATACGATTCAGAAAGTTTGGTGGACAATATCACAGTTATTGTACAACTTTTTACTCGTATGACTTTTGTTTACATTTTTTCAACATTAAGTATGTCATTGTGAACGCTAAGTGAACAATATTCTGCGTTGGTCCAGACCACATGTGTCAGGCTCCAGTCTTCCCAGGCCAAAACACTGCAGACTTCAGCTCATTGCCTCATTAAACACACTTGATTCAGCTCATCAGATAATTAGCAAAGCCTTCATGAACTAAATTCAGAGCGTTAGATGAAGTTAAACGTTGACCTCCACATCACTTTCAGGTCCCCAGTTTGACATGCCTGGTCCGACCAAAGGAACCGAACTACAAGTATAAGCACACCCTTAATGGCAGCGTTAGTGACAGTGCTAACCTACGAAAAAACCAAAGGCCACTCATTTGATCCCCTTTCTTGTAATAAGAGCACTTAACAGCACTCAGACCTTTTAAGCGTTTACACCACCACTGAACCAAACTTTCGTTTTCTTTAGGTAAAATCTGCTCTTCTTTCCAAGGAAGACACTCTAAAGGACATGAAGCTGAGCTTTGAAGATACACAGAGCTGCTTTATGATAAATTAAGCCATTTTTCTAACTTAAGTGTACAGTAGCAAAGTAAATTCAAATGTCAAAAAAAGACACACTGCCCCCAAGTTGTGATGGACAGTGTTACTCTGTACTCATTTTTAGGCCACATCCTCATTTTTAGGCCACATCCCTCCAAACACGCTGCTGAACTGCACCGATCTGCTCTGGAAGTTCTTGTCTAAATAAATCATTTACGTCCAATTCGTGTACAAAGAAGAAATAAAAGATTTCCTGTTCTGTGACTGAAAGAGAAAAATAAAAAAACAAAGCGCATTTCAATGAGGACAATCCAGCAACTCAGCGCAGAATAAAAACTCCCTGTCGTGAAGGCGTGGGGGTGACAAAAGCGCCCAGATCGAGCCGGGGGAAGCCGAGGCCAGCCAAGAGCCGCCCCACGCCCCCCCGTTCCCATGGGGCCTTTAGAGCCCTTCAATCGGGAGGCATTATTTCAGCCCACAGCGCATCCACAATCCCCGCGGGCAAAGAGAGAGAGCAGGGGCAGAGCGGAGAGGCGAGAGGAGGTGCTACTCGCTTCAATCACAATTTTCATACAAATGAGCTTTTACTGTTTCCTCACTGCACGAACCACGAAGGGAACACTCAGCTACTGTACTACATAGCAGTCATGCTGGTGCACTTTGTGTGGCTACTGAAATATCTTAACCCTCTATTGCATGAACTATTACTTAAACATGATACAATTTTTTAACATGTTTTTGTTATTTAAAATTGCTTAAATAATGGAAAAAGAAAAAAAAATTTTTAAGTAGGTATTCGGTAAATTGTTGCCATATGGCAACAATGCGCAATCATACCATAGCACCATTAAATCTAAATAAAGCACCAAAAATTTTTCTCTAAAAACATCTTTGTATTAAAAAACAAGAGCAAACAAATTCAACTTTTACCTAGTAAAAACGTACGACCCAATATTCACACATATTGTAAATGAATACATTTTCAATTGGTATTTGGAATATATGGTAATAACAACAACATACATAAGAATTCCTGGTCATGTGACGTCATAAATTATCTGTCATTTCAAAGTAAAAGACCCTTTTCCACAATTAAATAGGAAAACACTGATTTATATTACTGCTTTTTAGTAAAATTGAGATAAAAGTTATTGTTGCCATATGGCAACACCGTGCAATAGAGGGTTAAATGGCCCAAATCCTCTCCGGCATACAGCACACTGTATGTTTCTATGACAGAAACCTGGACTGTAGCCCTCTCATTCAAATACAGCTTTTAAATGGCCGGAAAGGCAATACTGTTAGCACCTTCAGCGGACTACAGTGGACAGAGCTGGCAGGAAACCTTTCAAAACAGCAGCAAAGAGGAGCTCCAGTTCCCCTCGAGAGCCTCCACAGCAACAAGAATCCACAAGCTATATGAACAAGACCATGAGTGATAGGCTACAACTGACTATTAGGACCATAATATATATACACATGATATATTTACTCAAAACCATCTCTAAAGAGTCTGGACTCCAGCAATCCACAGTCAGACAGACTGTGTACACATGAAGGAAGTTTAAGACCATTGACAAGCAACAAAGATCAAACCAAGAGCAAGGCGTATAATAGTCTGTGAGGTCACTAAGGAACCCAGGGTAACTTCTAAGCAACTAAAGGCCTCACAGTGGCTAATGTAAATGTTCATGAGTCCACCATCAGGAGAACACTGAACAACAATGGTGTGCATGGCAAGGTTGCAAGGAGAAAACTGCTGCTCTCCAAAAAGAACTTTGCTGACCGTCTGCAGTTTGCTAAAGATCACATGGACAAGCCAGAAGGACGGATGAGACCAAAATACAT